AGAGATATTAAAGATGAACATATATTGATTTCTTAATTTTGTTAAAATTCTTAATAAAATATTATATCATAATTAAAATTTTTCTAAAGTAAATTAACTAATATCATAAAGCATATAGACATTAAGTGGTATATTTTTCGATTTAACATACTACACAATACACTTATTAAAAACTCATTGTTTTCTAGTTTGAAATTAAATGGAGACAATTAAATTTAAAGATCTAGTTATATATATAAAATGCAAGAACTAATTGAATCAAATTGTACTTATATTATATTTTAATAGTTGAATTAGATGAATAACAGAAAGTGAGTTGAACTCAATGTATACCAATCATTTTTCTATTTTTGTTAAACTAAATATGTATGTACCAATCATTTTCTTAAAAGATAGGGCACAAGAAGTTGTGAACAAAAAATTTTAGCCTTAGTTTTTTAGCTTTGTTATTAACTATATTTTTTTATATAACTCATCATCATATATATATATATATATATATATATAAAACATATATAGTGTTTTTTCTTTTTCACTCTTCCTAAAAAAATAGTAAATTATCTATCTTTTTTCATGAAATTGAAGTTTTACCTAGAGATTTTAATTACTCTAAACACATTCTATTTACGGGTTGGTGGAGTTTTTTTTGAAAAGCAAATTTAATTAATTGGAGTACAAGGTACTCCGAACCCGTTGCAAAATACATCCTTCGGCACCTTTCGTCACACTCAAGACAACTTTAAAGAACATTATACCGAGGTGCAAGGTGCAGCATCTGTTCTTGGTTCCCATTCTTTATCTCTCTCCCCTTTTTTTTTAGAAAAGTTTCTTTCTTATCTCTTTGTTCCTCTTTCTATTCTACCCTTACCCTCCACTCCTCCACCACAATCTTATCTCCATTATTAGAAGGATCGAATGGTACCAATCAAATAGCTGCTGTGACAGGAATGTTTTCGTTTTGTTTTTTACTAGTGTTTGATGGGATGATCAATGTTTAAGGGTTGAGTACCCGTTGTACTCATTTGAATATATTACTTAGATTGTTTGCTGTTCAAAAAAAAAAAAAAAAAAACCTTTCATCCTCCCATCTCAACTTTGTTGCTAAATAAAAGAAATTGCGAAACAGTATGTAATCAACCTCAAATAATTTTGGACTAGAAACATAGTTGAGTAGTCAACAATAGGCACTGTGATGATCTTGGTTGAATTGGAACTGTGATTGTTTTATAGATTTGTGAATTTCTTAAAAGGATGGTTTGGGTTATTTGGATTTTGGACATGATGCATGTATGTAGCTAACTTGAAGTGTTGTATTGAGGAGATCAATTAATTGGTATCAGATTTTCAACTTTCTCTTTCTTTGTTTTGTGCAAATAAAATGGTGACATTTTTTAATAACAAGTTGTTACTTTACAAGGAAGGTGTAGTTGCAGAGAGTTGAGGGGTATTCCGGATCTCGAGTCTTTGCTTCGACTATCCTGCAAGGCCCCGAGGTTGGTCCTCGGGGTAGACACTTCGATGCCTAAGTCAACAATAATCAGAGCTACCAGTTATGGAGCAAGAGTAAGAGCTAAGTTTGAGGTCGGTTTCAAGTACCTTTCTGAGGTGGACCTTGGGGGGTATTTATAGGCTTTCAAGGGGGTGTCCACGTGTTGATCCTTCCGAGAAACCAGGGCAATGCGTGTCAAACATCGCAGGTGCTTCTCATGAGGGATTTGTGTGCGTACAGAGCTACTATGGAGCAGGACCAGAAGGGACAAGCTCGAATTTGGCCGAGCTTGTCGCCCTTCAATCAAGTCAAGGTAGCTAGATGCTGGGAGCTGTTTCGGCCGTCTGAGGTTGTGTACCTTGGACAGCTGTGAGGTACATGACCTCTAACTGCCCACATGCCTCTATCTCATGACCTCTGTCTACCAGCGTGCCTCTAACACCTCGTGACTTATGACTGCCCACATACCTCTGATATCTCATGACCTTTGTCTACCACCACTACACTATTCCCCCCCACGAAGTCATTCACTTGTGAATGATATGGGAGTTTGTGTTGGTGCTGAGTTAAGGGGTGGATATGATGGCATAGGGTTAAGGTGTATGGTTGCAGCCGAAGTGAAAGGTAGCATGACTGGTGGTTGTGGGATATGGTCAGAGCCGAAGTGAAAGGAGAATGACGTAGTCATGGGGTACAGCCGGAGCCGAAGTAAAAAGTAGCATGACACGTAGTCATGGTTTACGACCGGAGCCAATGCGAAAGTATCGTGACATGTGGTCATGGGGTACGGCCAAGCCAAAGTGAAAAGTAGCATGACCTGTAGTCATGGGTTACGACCAGAGCCGAGGTGAAAGTATCATGACACGTGGTCATGGGGTACGGCCGAAGCTAAAGTGAAAAGTAGCATGACAAGTAGTCATGGGTTACGGCCGAAGCCGAAATAAAAGTATCATGACACGTAGTCATGGGGTACGACCGGAGCCGAAGTAAAAAGTAGTGTGAGTGAACATTGGTCAAGAAATAACTAATCGTGTAATCCATTTGAAAGAGCTTGAAGTGAGAACGAAAATAAAATAAAATGGAATATAATAAAATAATTTAACTTATGGTGACAGCTGTCCTCGCATGCCGTGCTATAATAAATGTCATTAGGAATAACTGCCGAATTCGAAAGGACGCGATCGTGGCCGTTGAACGTGAGCGATCGTGACCCTGAAAACGGGGGGAAGGCTAAGTATATATAGTTGGGCTTGAGTTATTCATAATTTTACCTTGCTGAATTTATAGCGAAGCTCTGCCGAAATCGCGAGAGAGCACTTCGTCCTCCGAGCTAACGGTTGCAGAGATCGTGATAGTTGCCAGTATTTTCACAAGTGTTGTACTTCAACATTCAAAAAACCAAGTAACTCTAAGTTCTACCTCTATCTTTAGTAATTTTTTTTATTTTAGAAGTCCAGTCAGGGGAGTTAGATGTTCAATAGGAAGGGGGGTAGTAAAGGATAGAGATTGTAGGTGATTCTGATCATTACTCATCACGTACTTCTTGTAGTGAAGATTGTTACATTAGAGATGTCTTCTGAAGAAACACTAAGTGTTTGAGGGGGTGGGGAGCTTTAGTTCGAGCTCAAGCTCTGGTGGGGGAAGTGGGGGTAGGACCTCTGTTAGTGGGGGCAATAGGGGTCAGGGAGATAGCATTGTCCCAACTAACATTTTAAAGGTCGATGGTAGCCGGGCGAAGTGTTATGACGAGGGGGATGAGATAGTGGGGGAGGTGATAGGGTATGAATCGTCCTGAAGGTGCAGGGGGGAGTTGGGGCACTTAGTGGAGAATTATAACATCCCCCCTCATGTGCTGGTGAGGCCAGCAAGAAGTGAGGAGCGGGCGTGTTCGGCTCCAAAAGACCATTGGATGCCGCTATATGCGCACTACCTAGCAACTGGGCTCTGGTTTCCCATTCCGGAGTTGCTGGTAGCGCTGCTGAAAGAGTATGGGTTCGGGTTGACGCAGCTCGTCCCAAACGGAGTTCGGTTGGTGGTGGGATTTTTAGTCTACTGCCAACTTCGGGGTGTTTCTATCCCCACAGTAGACTTATTTAAGTATTTGTTTATAATTAAGGGGGTTAGTCGGAAGGAGAAGGGGTGGTTTTATTTCACACCCCGAGTAGCTGGAGGTAGGAGTAGGAATCTGTTTATGGCAGGTCCTTCCTCCGTTAAGGGGTGGAAAGAAAAGTTTTTCTTTGTTGATGATATGGAGTGGGGAAGGGGGGATGGGAAAGTAGAGGAGCTCAGTAGGTGGAAGGGGAAGAGGAGGAATCCAAATCAGTACCGGCTGGGGGAGGTGGAGAAGGACGAAGTGGAGAGATTGGAGAGGGGTGGGGGAAAGCTGACGAACATAATGTGCCTCACCAGTCCAGAGGTGGTGGAGTCGTCTGGAATCTATGGGAGGAGCTCGTTGAACGGAGGTCTGTATTAACTAAAGTTAGATTCTTTGTTAGAGCAAGAGTCTGATTGCAATTTTTAACTCTATTTTGCTTTGTAGAAGAAATGAATCACTTAAGAGCTGGGGGCAAGGTTATACGACTTCCAGAGAAGAGGTCAAAGGCATCAGCTTCGGGTGCTCAAGAAGAGCGAGTTGGGGGTGGGATTTCAAGACCTCACCCCGGTGGTGGACCTCGAGCTGAGGTGGGGCCCAGCTCTAAGCCAATGAGGGGTCCAACGGAGGAGGTCACCGCCTGGAAGAGGCCAAGGGTGAAGGAGGTGCAACCTCTGCAGATCGAGGCCCCTATTGAGTTCATACCTCGGCCTCCCCCCAAGTAGATCGACCCAACACTTCAGGAGGTAGAAGCGATGGCGCCTGGGAGGGGGAAGAGCTTCATTCCTTACCCCAGGTAGGTCTCCAGCTTCTACGAATCTTGGAGGACGGCTGCTAAACTCTTCATCGGCTCCCACTTCCCCGAGGTAGATCTGCAGAGGGCCAGGGATGAGGTGGCCACGAATGGGGGATCAAGGGTAGTTCGGCAGGCCCTGGAGGTGAGTTTGCTCCTGTCATTTCAGCTCATTCGTCATCTTTCTCTCTTTTTTTTTTTTTTTTTT